CCCCCGAGCCTGGCCCCTCCTGCCACATCTCTGGTCCCCTGTCTGCCCTGCAGCCCCCACTCCCACTGCAGCTTCTCCCCCTGCTAACTGCGCCAACCCTGCTCAAACCCAGTGACAGCATGGAGCTATTAGGACCAGCATCTGACAGTGGTTGCGAGGGATGGCTGCTGTCCTGATCACTCCTCAGGATCAGGGGGACGTGGAGAAACCTTGAGGGGCAATTGGGGTCAGCAGCCACCTTTCTCATCTGCTGCTGGCCACGGCCTCACTCCCACCCGCTGCTGGTATTGAAGCAGCTCACTGCCACTGATGGCACTGAGCAATAGGGGCCACACTGGGCATTGGCAGTGGATGTGAGCATGGACGGCTCCAGTAGCAGGTGTGAGTCCCGGGCGGGACTACAGTGTGTAGGGCACCTGCCCCCAGAGCACGGGAGCAAACTATTTTCAGTAATCATCAGAAGCTCACCCCAATGACAGCAACTGGCGCTCCGCCTTGGTCTTGCACCCTGCTCATCTGCTCCAGTATCCCACCACAGCCGATGCCAGCCATGTTCTGCCCTCTGCCACCTGCTGCCCATGCCCACCATGTTCCTCTCATGCCCCCTGGTGGTCAGTGCATGTCCTAACCACCAGTTGTTTGGTTTTCCGTTGTTCCACTGTTTGGTATATTTGCATATTAGCCTTTCATTATATAGGATTGTTTCATAATATAATATGAGACTACTATTTGCTGTGTTCTACACTTCCCTTTAAAAAAATAATTATAAGAGCTCTAGCAAGTTTGTCTCAGTGAATAGCTCAGCGATCTGCAGACCAAAGGGTCTGAGTTCAACTCCAATCAAGGCACATACTTTGGTTGCAGGCCCTTCCCGCACTAGGGCCCTTGTCTGGGCTCATGCAGGAGGAACCTATTGTTGTTTCTCTCACATCAATGTTTCTCTCTGTCTTTCCCTCTCTCTTCCACTTTCTCTAAAATTCAATGGAAAAAATTCTTGGGTGAGGATTAACAAAAAATAAATAATTTATAAGCATTTATTTGAGCCCAAAACGACCATTGCTGTGAAGCAAGATATCAAATGCTCCCTACAATTTTCTTTTTACAAAAAATATATCTACAGATTTTTGTTTGGTTTTTCACATCAACCTGCAGATATAGTTCATGTATTGCTTGAAACCCACTCCATGGTGAGAGATCTTGTGATGTTGATGGTGTGTTCTCTGGTCACTACCTCCTCGATGGCAGAAAGGCCCTTCTTCTCTCCACCCTTCTTTGCTGGAGCCATTATGCCAGGCCCAAATTGGAAAGGAAGCAAAGATTTTACTTTTATTATTATTAAAATATATTTTTATTAATTTCAGAGACGAAGGGAGAGGGAGATAGAAACATCAATGATGAAAGAGAATCACTGACCTGATGCCTCCTGCATACCCCCCACTGGTGATTGAGCCTGCCACCTGGGTATGTGCCCTTGACTGGAATCGTACCTGGGAACACTTCAATTCTCAGGCCAATGCTCTATCCACTGGGCTAAACCAGCCAAGGCAAGGTTTAACTTTTAATTTCAGTTTCTTCCTCAGCCAAATGGGATGAAAGGGTGTTGAGAAATTCAAGGGAGGATTATAAAGTGTAAGTCAGATTATGCATATTAACAAGGTTAGTACCTCCTAGCTTTCAGGAATAAGAGGAGATCCCATCAACCAGACTTCTGAAGATCCTCCTATTACCACCCTTGCCCACAAGTCCCACCTCCAGGGAAGAGCCTTTGGTGGGTGAGGTCTTAAAGAGATTCACCCTCCTAGTGGTATATATAGACCAGGCTCACATTACTAGCATTTAACTGGTAGGAGATGGGAAACCATAAAAATCTAAAAAGAATCCATAGGCAGCAAAATATCAGAAATATGTTTGAGCAATATCTTTACTGATACCGCTCTTAGGACAGTGATGGTGAACCTTTGGAGCTCGGCGTGTCAGGATTTTGAAAAACCCTAACTTAACTCTGGTGCCGTATCATATATAGAAATTTTTGATATTTGCAACCATAGTAAAACAAAGATGTATATTTTTGATATCTATTTTCTATATTTAAATGCCATTTAACAAAGAAAAATCAACCAAAAAAATGAGTTTGCGTGTCACCTCTGACACGTGTGTCATAGGTTTGCCATCACTGCTCTACATCATCTAAATGCTTGCTAAAAATACAAATAACCAGGATCCCAACCAGACCTAAGGGGTGATGAATATCTATAAGTGCAAAGTGCTCTGAAGTGCTGGTGTGAAGGTGCCTGTGGGAATCTACAATGTCACATTGCCTGGTGTCAAATATTTTTGTTTAAAACCAGAGGATCCGGACGGACATTGAGCGAACGAGGAGGAAGGAGAGAAATGGCGTCCACAGATTACAGTACCTACAGCCAAGCTGCAGCCCAGCAGGGCTATAGTGCTTACACCGCCCAGCCCACTCAAGGATATGCACAGACCACGCAGGCAGATGGGCAGCAAAGTTATGGAACCTATGGACAGCCCACTGATGTCAGGTATACCCAGGCTCAGACCACTGCCACCTATGGACAGACAGCCTGTGCGACGTCTTATGGACAGCCTCTCACAGGTTATACTACTCCAGCTGTCCCCCAGGCCTACAGTCAGCCTGTCCAGGGGTATGGCACTGGTGCTTATGATACCACTACTGCTATGGTCACTACCACCCAAGCCTCCTATGCAGCTCAGTCTGCGTATGGCACGCAGCCTGCTTACCCAGCCTATGGGCAACAGCCGGCAACCACTGCACCTGCGAGACCACAGGATGGTAACAAACCCGCTGGGACCAGTCAACCTCAATCCAGCACAGGGGGTTACAACCAGCCCAGCCTGGGATATGGACAGAGTAACTACAGTTATCCCCAGGTACCTGGGAGCTACCCCATGCAGCCAGTCATGGCACCACCGTCCTATCCTCCTACCAGCTATTCCTCTATACAGCCGACTAGTTATGATCAGAGCAGTTACTCTCAGCAGAACACCTATGGGCAGCTGAGTAGCTATGGGCAGCCGAGTAGCTATGGGCAGCAAAGCAGCTATGGGCAGCAGCTGCCCACTAGTTACCACCCCCAAACTGGATCCTACAGCCAGGCTCCAAGTCAATATAGCCAACAGAGCAGCAGCTACGGGCAGCAGAGTTCATTGCGACAGGACCACCCCAGTAGCATGGGTGTTTATGGGCAGGAGTCTGGAGGATTTTCCGGACCAGGAGGGAACCGGAGCATGAGTGGCCCTGATAACCGGGGCAGGGGAAGAGGGGGATTTGATCGTGGAGGCATGAGCAGAGGTGGGCGGGGAGGAGGACGCGGTGGAATGGGCAGCACTGGAGAGCGAGGTGGCTTCAATAAGCCTGGTGGACCCATGGATGAAGGACCGGGTCTTGATCTAGGCCCACCTGTTGATCCAGATGAAGATTCTGACAATAGTGCCATTTATGTGCAAGGTTTAAATGACAATGTGACTCTAGATGACCTGGCAGACTTCTTCAAGCAGTGTGGAGTTGTTAAGATGAACAAGAGGACGGGCCAGCCCATGATCCACATCTACTTCGACAAGGAAACAGGGAAGCCCAAAGGCGATGCTACAGTGTCCTATGAAGACCCGCCCACGGCCAAGGCGGCCGTGGACTGGGTTGATGGGGAAGAGGTTCAAGGAAGCAAGATGCAAGTTTCCCTTGCTCGGAAGAAACCGCCAATGAACAGCATGCGGGGGGTCATGCCGCTCCCAGAGGGCAGGGGGATGCCGCCGCCGCTCCGAGGAGGTCCGGGAGGCCCAGGAGGCCCCGGGGGACCCATGGGTCGCATGGGAGGCCGTGGAGGACACAGAGGAGGCTTTCCCCCAAGAGGGCCCCGGGGCTCCCGAGGAAACCCATCCGGAGGAGGAAACCTCCAGCGCAGAGCCTGAGACTGGCAGTGCCCCAGTCCGGGGTGTGGAAACCAGAATTTCGCCTGGAGAACAGAATGCAACCAGTGTAAGGCCCCGAAGCCTCAAGGCTTCCTCCCGCCACCCTTTCCACCCCTGGGCTGTGACCGTGGCAGAGGTGGCCCTGGTGGCATGCGGGGAGGAAGAGGTGGCCTCATGAACCGCGGTGGTCCTGGTGGAATGTTCAGACGTGGCCGTGGTGGAGACAGAGGTGGCTTCCGCGGTGGCTTTGGTGGAGGAAGACGAGGTGGCCCTGGGGGTCCTCCTGGACCCTTGATGGAGCAGATGGGAGGAAGAAGAGGAGGGCGTGGAGGACCTGGAAAGATGGATAAAGGTGAACACCGTCAGGAATGCAGAGACCGGCCCTACTAGATGCAGAGACCCCGCAAGCTGCGTTGACTACCAGATTTATTTTTTAAACCAGAAAGTGTTTTAAATTTATAATTCCGTATTTATAATGTTGGCCACAACATTATGATTATTTCTTGTCTGTACTTTAGTATTTTTCACCATTTGTGAAGAAACATTAAAACAAGTTCAATGGTAAAAACAAAAAACAACAACAAAAACCCAGAGGTTCCTCCCTAGCTGGTTTGGTTCAGCGGATAGAGTGCCCGAGTTTGATTCTGGTCAAGGGCATATACCTCCATCCCCAGTGTTGGGCTTGCAGGAGGCAACCAGTAAATGTTTCTCTCTCATCATTGATGTTTCTATCTCTCTCTCTTCTCTTTTTTTCTCTGAAATCAAAAAAATATATATTTAAAAAATAAAACCAGAGGTTCCAAGAGGTTTCCCTAAATTGATGTGTAGGCTGACACCAAACTGAAAGGGAAGCTGTTCTATTTTCCTGGTTGCATCTGTCTCTGGAGGAACAGATGATCAAAAATCCCATCCCCAATGACACGGGCGGACTGAAATCAGACTTGAAATCCAGCCCACATAACCTACAAGCAGATGGCACTTTAATGCCAGCCTCGGTCTTTTCTCAATCTCTTATGAGAAATTTGTTGGGTGGGGATGGGATGTGGGAACAGGGAAGCAGGTGATGGATTTGGAGTGGAGAAAGGGGACCAGTTTGAAACAACTGTGTGGGGGAAAGGAGTTGAAGTGGATCTGAGAACTCTGAGATGAAGGGAAATGGATGAAGGGAAGTCGATGAAGCTTAAGGAAGGGAGTAGGAGAAACCTTGGCTAGATGAGAGCAGAGAAACACTGAGATGGAATTCAAATGGTTAGGTTTTTAAAAAGTAAATTATAGAATATTCTAGGTATTCAGAAAAGGAGAGAAAGTCTTATGAAGTCATTATGATGAACCTATATTCTATAACTAAGCTTTCTGCAACTTTTTTCTACAGTCGTACCAGCCTTTTTCTATTTCTGGGCAGAAAATCTCTGAGTTTGCTTGTAAACTTTTCATTATATATTTCTAAAAGAGACTCTTAATTTACATACTTCTACACTAAAATTTTTAAAGTAATTTTCTTTTTTTAACTTATTTTCTTATAAAGAGTAAGAGGATGGGGCAAGGCAGAGAGAGAAAGAGAGAGTGAGAGATTGGGAATGAGAAAGAGGCATTGATATTATTTTGTGGTTCCTTCTGTCATGTATTTATTAGTTGCTTTTTGTAAAGTGCTCTGACCTCGGATTTAATCTGAAACCTCGGCATATTGGGACTAACGGAACTACCTGCCAGGGCAATTTACATATCACTAATGCCAATCATTACCTCAGTGTAACATAATCATCAACCAGGTTGTTTTAATCCTCAAATACCCAACTTCCAAGTGAAATTTGATCAAATATTTCCAAATGAAATGAAATTAGATTTATACATACAAAATAACTGACTTCTATGGCTTTTCGTCAACTGCACTGTGAAGGCCTCAGTCAGAGAAGAGACGGTACAGATTCCAGTGTGGGTCTGAGAACCAGGTGCACCCAGGACAGGAGGTGGATGTGCTGGTGCATTGAGTCTAGCAGAGCGAATGCGGCCTTCCCAGGTGCTTGTTCTCTGCAGGCCCTCAGTGGGTTGGCTGTTGCCCACTGACATGTGGAGGGCTGTCTGCTTTGCTCATCCACAGATTCAAATACTAATGTCTCCCAGAAATCTCGTCACAGTCACACCCAGAATTAGTGTTTCAGCTGCTACCTGGCTATCCAGTGGCCCAATCAAGTTGACAGGTTAAATTGACCAGATTATTCGACTGAGTTTTCTCAATCCCTTATATCAGTAGTTCTCAACCTTCTGGCCCTTTAAATACAGTTCCTCATGTTGTGACCCAACCATAAAATTATTTTCGTTGCTACTTCACGACTGTAATGTTGCTACTGTTATGAATTGTAATGTAAATATCTGATATGCAGGATGGTCTTAGACGACCCCTGTGAAAGGGTCGTTCGACCGCCAAAGGGTTCGAGACCCACAGGTTGAGAACCACTGCCTTATATTGTCTGTAAATAGATGGTTTAGAACTCTGATGAGATTTATATTCACTTATCTGGCAAAACTTCCTCACAAACAATGGTATAGTCCCTCCAACAGTTGTATGATATCTACTAGTATTTTTCTTTTTTTTTTAGATGGAGAGAGAGTGCCAGATCAATGTAAGGGAGATACTTGGATTAGTTGCCTTTCTTACATGACACAGCCCCAGATGGAACCTGTGACCTAGTGGTTCATGGGACAACACTCCAACCAACTGAGCCACACAGGCCACTTTTTATAACATATATATATATAAATGTATATATATTATATATATAAATGTATATA